CATGGAATAGCTCCCGAAGTTGGCCGCAGCAGTGCGGGAGAACGGTTCGAAACGTCTCAAAATCTCCTTTCTCCGAAGGACCGCCCGAAATCACATTGCAAAGATAACTCGCCACGTTTCGAGGGAAACTGGCTGGACCACGACACCACATCTATCGTATAGCCCTGACATTGCTCCATCGTACTATCCTCCTCAGCTCCCTGAAGCAGCAGCTAGGAGAGAAAAAAGTCAGTAAATACAACCACCCCAAAAACGACCTCTTCCGAGCTTTTCATCTCACAGCTTCTTCGTTCTGGGAGGAATGCATCCATTCGTTCCCTAGCAAATGGGTGCATATCAGTGATTATGATGGTGGTTATTTTGATCAATTGTTTTTTAGGAAAGATAAAAGGGAGGAAATCAATGTGTATAAAATGTGTATCAATGTAACTCGGCAATTACGGAGAGCAATATTTTTTGAGACAATGTATTGATCAGAGTAAAATCTAAAACCTTTTCACAGCTTCCAATTTTTCCCTGATTGATTCTGAAAAAACAAGTCAAAGAATTTGTTTTCCGAGGTTCACTTTACCTCTAGAAGACGGTACTCCAATTTTATAGGGTATTTTGGATCACTATTGTTTTCTTTTTCCGCGTTTTCTTCGTCTTGTTACGCCTTCGTCGTCTTCGTCGTCGTCGTCGTCATCGTCATCATCTTCTTCTTCGTCATCGTCTTCATCGCTTTCGCCTTCATCTTCTCCGTATTCGTATTCTGGGAAAGTGAGTTCTGATTCTCCTATGCCGGAACCTATATAGAATATCACGGGGACCATACTCGAATTCGATGTAAGTGTTGTGTTCACGTAATGCTCTGAACAGAACCTGAAAGGGTAGATGTAATCACCCGTGCACATATTACTGTGGTCTTGTCTTTCCTGCTAACTTTGTACCTGTAGCCGGTGAGACGTTGGTCGGAATGTGTCTTGATTTCAACACCACCGTCAGTACATCCATCAGTTCCGAATCCATGAGGGAGTCCCAAAATTCCTCAGCTGAACCTGCTCACCTTCTGGGGCCTTAAGAAGCAACATCCAAGTTCTCTAACCGAAGCCAAATCCTAGACATCACGCACTTGAACCCAGAAAACACATTTTCTATAACTGCCTTCTTGGGTGCCGTTTTGCAAATCCTTGATTAAATCTTGTTCAAGCAGGGTCCAGTTGCCTGTTGCGTTCAATACTTTACCACAACCGGGTGGCTAAATAAAATTTCTGCAGGGGTTCGCTAGCTACAGCTGCAAAGGTCACTCACCCTTTGGTTGCAGAAATCTCCACCGTATCCACTGGGGCAGATGCACTTAGAGCAGTTACGCGGATGAGCAAATCCTCCGTTCTGGCAGGGTGTGGATTCATTTTTGCATAATTCTTAAGGACGATGTATTAAGAACACCCATGAGAGTAGTTTTAACGCAAAACCTTGTCTACCCGTGCAATTGTAGAGCAAGTTCATCATAAGCAGATCGTAGAATGCAATCATATGAGATCCTAGAGTATCCATGTACAAGACATCTTTGGGCACCATAGTAGTGAGTTTTCCCTTTGTGGTATTTTTGCCGCCACTAAAGAGAAAATTATATACACTATTGTATGTACGACATTTTGCAGTATTCATATCTCTTCACAGTTGTCTACCTTGTCGATCCATAGTGCATCACACTACCGTAGTCGTATGTTAAGTTATAGTTGTTATTTGTTTTTGTCGATTCGATAGCGAATTCTTCCTCCCAGTCGTGCTAGATCGATTAGAGTAATAAAATGCTAAGTTCCATAGAGATCGTTGGCCTTACTGCGATACTTCCGTTTAAAATCGTTACAAATTCGTCGCGGTCGTGTCTTGAGTGCGTATGCCAGAATCCAAGGGCATGTCCGATTTCGTGAGCAGCGGTTCCGACCTGTGGTGATGAGAAATATGTAAGTAAGTCAAAGGGTATTCACCTTACTGTCTGTTTGCTTATCGTAACACTAAACAGAAACTTTTCGGGAGCGGTACCGTTTCACAGCCATTGCCGAGTGAGATGAACTGCCACTCGTACTCTCGACCAACATCTGACCAACATCCTGGCCCTCGAACACAATAATGAGGTCGTCAGCTGAAATACTAATAGCTAAGAAACCTCATTACCATTTCAAACTAGCAGTTTCTCTAACAGAACAATTACGTTGTAAAAAGGGTATGCGGGTTTTTAGCCTCTCCCTAAAGTGGCATATTCTAAATGAATAAAAGCACGTTCGGCATTCGGCGTTGCAAGCACTTTCGGCCGTAACAGTATATTTCATGAGAAATATCAGTTGGGAACGAAATGCGGACTCATTTATTTCGTCGACGTAAGAAGAAGGACCTCTGGAGGCCAGTAAAATGTCGAAGGTCCTTTCAACCTTTTCGGATCTTAAGTTTCCCTATGCTCAAGAATCACGGGATTGTTGAGAAGTGGATGGTTAGAGTAAGAGATCCAGTGAGTACGGCAATTTCTTTCCTGCGTTAACTCGTTAAGCCGGCTTCATCATATAACGAACACGCTTTCTGCTCTATTTACTGGTAGGGTCACATTTGAACCACTTTACTGTGCTTTTTCAAAATTTTGAATACGGCATACTCGAAAGGCGGATTAGCACGTTTTTCTTTAAGCATCTCAAAATGGGCCTGGAGATTGCGCAAGCGGGTCAAGATATCAAAAATACGCTTGGCGCGGATTTGCCATGAATATGCTCTTGAGCAGTTGTAGAAAAAGTCTTTGCAACGAAAGCGAGGGTTTTGAAGCTTGTTAGGATGGTGGACGGATGTTGATCGTTGCCAATGTTTTGCCAAAAGTTCTGGTTGAGGCACGCATGCACAGAACTATTGGATGGTTCAAACAACACGACATGAAACATTGCATTAAGTGAACTGTGGTTTACAGTTGTCGGGCCAGAGCTGGAGAATTCGAAAAACGTGATCGTTGCGTGCCGCCAACTTTCTATTCAGAAGCGTCGATCCTGGTGCTCTAGCTTGTTTTAGTGGTAGAAACGAGCTTCATACCTGATAATGTGCAATGTTCGATGTAAAGGGATCCCCTAATGCAGCCAGCGGAACTTTGCTGAATGGACAACCACAGTCGAACTCTACAAACTTTACAAGACTAGAACTGCATTGAAGGATGTTTATGTCGACCGTTCATAAGGCCAGCGGCTGGCCTAGCTATCCGAAATCAGGTGTTCTGCTACAGTGGGAAAGCACTCGACATTGTGTCAGAACACCCGGAAAACTTCAACACATTTGCCCGCTATTCCTCATCATGAGGGAACCGACTTATGATTCCGATATGTGGCTCAGACGCATATCGCACATCCAACCTTACCCAAGTTAGACCAGCTGGCGTGATGATCAATGTTAAGAGCTCTTACTCATTGTCAGTTGACCTTTCTCTGCACTGTAGAGTGCCACGTTTCGAAGACCCGGATAGCTCCTCAACAAGAAGCGAACCGTTTTCCCATTAGAAGAGTTTAAACGCCAGTGATTTTATTTCAATTGAAAAGGTTTTGGTTGAGCCGAGACACATACTGAGAGTTATAATAATTAGCTTGTAAGTGAAGTATAGCAGTGGATAACTTTTGGGAAAAAGTATCTGAAACAACCAAAACATATCGAAATCTTCATTACTCAAGACCGCTTGAAGTTTCTGCTTACCCGTTTCGTTTTCATCGTTTTTGAAGTTTATGCACGTGTTGTTCATCCATAATTCTGCTGCTGTGACAAAGGATTTTTTTGTCTTTTCATCTAAATACAGATGGTTGAAAAATTCTAACATGTTTTGGTTCTTGGCCGGCAAGTAAGAGAAAATGCGAGAAACTGACGCAAGGGTTTTTCGAGTGAGTAATAAATTGTGTGTGGCCATCTTCTACCAGGGTAGGTTTCATCATTGTAAGCTTGCCGTTTGGAACGGCTGCCGCTGTTATCGGTGAAGATTTGATCCCGCTGTTCTCTAAATGCGATGCTTTTTTTACATCAAAGTTCAAAGAAGGAAAACAAACTCTGAAAGGAGCATATCTCCCTGAAATAGCACGTCTGCGATTCCGCTTTTCATGTTTACGTCCTCAATTGAATCTTTCCTTCGTGGTTCTTTCCCTTGGAAGGACTGAAATGTCTAGCATTCTATTACTAACATATCTACAATATTTGTCCCGTAAGTACTGTTGTTCCTTCAATTATTTTCTCATATTCCTATAACATTCGAAGTTTTTGCAAGATTCTATACGCCGTAAGATTAATGTGCTTCACGAAATTCATGTTTAGTGTTGTGAATAGGCAATTTGAAGCTTACGAAATGGGAAGTCTAGTCGAGGAAAAGTAGCCAAACCCAAACTCGACCACTAATCTCCATTACGTGTAACCAATGGATGATGTGTTTTGTACTTGAAAGTTGTAATTACTGTCAACTGATCGAATACAACTGCAACAGGTTAATCATTTCATTGGCAAAAACATTTTGTGGAGGCCGTCGTCACTTGTGGTGTATGGTCTGCACCCGACACTTTCTCGCTTTTTGAAGGGGAGGGTATATCCCAACTGATTCCTTCAAG